GAGCCATCTATGGATGGCTTCCTCCCATAGATCGGGCAACATGGGAAGCCTCCTTTATTGCCTGGGCGGTGGCACACCACTTCTACCCCTCTGCACCCATGGAGTGGGCACGACATCATGTGAATGGAGCCGGCCAACTCCGTGGGGGACTGGGGCTAGATTGGCATTTGCTATCAAATCTAACCCAGTATGATGATGTTGTAAGAGAGGGGAAATGACACCAAGAGAAAAGAGTAAAGAACTTTCTCTTTTCCCACTGACTCCCTTCTGTTCAAGCTTACTTCATTACTTTACACAAATTTCGGCTACATAAACCCAACTGAATGTGACTTCCTCTATATATTTTTCAAAAACAGGAATTGATAATGAAATTATAAGATGAAGAAAACCGGGAAGGAAGAGAAGATGTATAACCTTATTCCCACCACTTACTGTTTCCCAATGAAAACTGATTTGCCCCCAAACACTTTTCATCCCTTGTGGCCCTAGTGATATCTTGATTCTATGATTCTATACCCATGCAAGAAACAAGAATATAATATGAGATGTTCTGAGGCAGACCAAAGATCTATCTTATTTAGCATTATACTTCCACAGAATCCAGCCGTGTGAGTGGAACAATCCTCTCTCACTCATGCTCCCCAGCAAATGGCATACAGAGACATTAGCTGGCATCCTGTTAGAGACTGATGCAGACATACATACAACTAACACTTCCATATGTCTATTCTTCTTTCCTCATCCTGCTCCCCTCCTCTTCCTCCTATCACCTCCTTCTACTCTCCTTTTTTGGCACTAGTGCATTCTCTTGCTTTCTCACACAATGACCAACCCCACTGTGGTCACCTACACCATGGTCATGTGGTGGCCAGAGGAAAGTGGAGGTACCTGAGAGACATCTTTTTATGTAATTATAGCTAGATGCATAGTTACAAAAAAATCTTTTTGGATTTCCAAGGTCTTCTGGAATGTTAGGAAGATGATGTCATCATTGTACATGTTGCTATAGTCTCATAACCAGATGCTTCTCAGATGTCATCGAGCTTCCTCAACAATTACATGGCTGGAGAGGAGGGCCACTGCAGCAGAAAGGGGAGTTGTGGTAAAGGGATGCGGGAGATGCTTCATAATGTGAAAGTTGTATATCTCCTTGTGCATAATCTAGCAATTGCATATTATCTCAAGCTCTGGGGGGAGTTTATATCTTCCATCATGGCTAGCTACTACTAATCCATCTTCCATGAATTCATCCAGCTCCTTTAAAATGAAATAAACTGGCAGCCATCACTACATCTTTCAATGAATTCCCAGCTGAATTCCCACAAGGGAGTTAATAGACCCAACAGCAGGCATCAAGCCTGCTGCTGTTTCCCCCTTTTCCTGGACTGAAACATCCATCTTCATTACAAATTACTAATTATTCTCATGATCTTGTAAAATTCCTCTTGTTTATTTTATAGACAAAGACAGCTGTAGCCGTATCGCACTGATTTAAAAGATTGCACAAAGGATAACCAAATGACTTCCTCAAATCAATTAAGTAGCAAAGAAACAAGTAAGCATATTATTAATATTAGCGGGAGCAGTAGTATTACTAAAACCTCTGCTGCAATTCAGCTACAGAAACCTGAATATTTCCTTATTACTTTAGCTGGCTTATCAAGTGACAGCATCATAAATAGACCTCATTTCTTTGTTGACTAAGCCAATTCCAACAGATTTTGTGCCTACAGCAGCAGGAAGAAAAGAAGCTGGCTACTATGGAACACAAACAAATCTTTCCAAAGGCCAACAGTAACATTATTATCAGTCATCCCCCCTATTTTTCAGATTTCTGTGTGATTCTTAAGTTGCTGATGTATTATTTGTCACCAGTAGTGACAAATAATACTTTATTTAGGGCTTTAAAGTTTTACCTTCAGTGCACAATGAATTGTATACCTAAAAGATTTCTGCAGGAAAATCCCACACTGGGTGGAATCTTAGAGTTGGAAGAGACACCATCCAGTTCAACCACATGTTGCCATGCTGAAACTCACAACCAAACCAGTTCCCACAGATGACCACCCAGCCTTTCTTTAAAAAAAAAAACAGAAAAGGAGATTCCAGCACACTCCAAGGCAGTGTAATACACTTTTGAGCAGCTTGTACAATCAGTAAGTTTTTCCATATGTTTGGGTGGAATCTCTTTGCAGGTGTGGAATAAGTTGTTTTCCTATTTTTTGCTGCAAACTGCAAACTCTTAAAACCACAGAATATTCATTTATAAAGCAGTCCACAGAACCATAAAAGAGTAGTGCATTATAACCAGAGCAAGGGCAGCCTAGTATTTATCAAAAGAGGGGTTGCATGTTGCAAAATATCTTATAATAACATATTTCTCCATTTCTAAGATACCATATGGAGAAAATATAGAGATATAGGGAAAAATACATTTTAGAATAAAAGAAATACAGTATGTCCTCTCTGGACAGTTGTTGGTGGCCAAGCCCTCCACTGTTAGGTTTCATACATATACTTTAGTTCCATCATAAAGATGTCTCCAAATGTGTTGCTTAATTTTCCCCACCAGTGTGAATGACAAGCATTCACCTATAAGAAAAAATATAAAATGTTAATGTTCTGCTCAGTGTTCCATACAATGGTTGGTCTACTTTCTAAAGGTTAAAATCTAACACATTGCCATAGATGTAGGCAAAACCTTAGGAGAGAATGCTTCTGGAACATGGCCATACAACCTGGAAAACTCGCAGCAACCCTTTGCCCACACCGTTTTAACCCTCCTTGTTTTGGATTAGTCCCATTGATGCCCCTTCTACAAGGCCATATAATCCAGATTATCAAATCAGATAATCCTCATTATCTGCTTTGAATTGGATTATATGGTCTACACTGCCATATAATCCAGTTCAAAGCAAATAATCTGGATTTTACATGGCTGTGTAGAAGGGTCCTGAGTTATGCTGTCAATTGTTTGATCTGTCTTTGATACTCAGTTTGACTTTTGTTTCATCTTTCACGATTTGCTAAATATTTGATAATGAATTGATGACCAAGGTGTTGCTGCATATAACTTGGATATGAATTCTTATGTGCAGCTAAATAGAGATTAATTTTAGAGCAGGAGTTCTCACTGACAAAGTGGGAAGTCAGCAGTTCCGAGGAGAAAGTAAGCACCCATGTGGGTGCACAGCATGATTCCCCGACCCACGTTATTATCTTTGCAGAGAGCAATTTATTTCCTGGCTCTCTCCAAGAATTAGTTACACCTTCAGAGCATGCCTCAAGCATTTAGTTCCTAATCACATTACCTATCCCTTAACAGGGCCTAACTTTTTTGTACACCTAGCTACAACCAGCCTGTAGTATCCCATTGCGTCCCTTAAGTCTCAACAACAGATTCATCATAGGATGGATTATTTGAAAAGCTCTAAGTTTTTTTTACTAGGTGAAAGGAGTTAGGTTACAGCTACTTTAAAATCACTAAGGACACTTCTACACTAACACTATAATGTACCTTGGAACTGGTTTGGGAGGAATTCTTTATGCTGTGCAGGTAATTAGAATGACAAGCCTGGAACTGGTTTGAGGCCAGCTGGGTAATTACATTAGCCATGGAACCTGGCCTCAAACCATTATGTTGAGTCCACCCCCCCTCCCCCGCGGTCGCCCATTTCTAGGAAAGATGTACACCAGCATTCCAGAAACCTAGGAGGTGAGAGGGAGTGACAGATAAATGCAAAGTTAATCAATTACCTCTCTCAGTGGGTCAATTAGCCCCCCCTGTTAGCCAGCCATGCCCATGGGGCATTTTCTGACAGCTCCCTTGCCACCTCATTCCAAATCCTACAAAGCACTTCATCAAGGGCAGGTGTCTACAGTGTATTCTGTGGGGCAGATTATGCTCTGGAACCTGGAATATATTGGGATCTGCTGTAGGGAATTACATGGCTTAACTTGGACTTTGCTGCAACTTTCTTTAAGATGCCATGTACACTTTAATGTGCACTGCAGCATGCATTGGAAGCATGGGTTTTTTGGCTACTGCCGTTTCGAGTTGACTTGGAGCTGCATTAAATGGTCAGTGGAGATGAGCTCTACGTCCCAACAGAATCACTTTTGTAAGCCAAACAAGCAGGTTATGAGTTCAGTGGATCAAGACACAAAGGTGTTTGGCTACCTGTTCACCACCTTGGTTGTGTGATAGGACTGTCACCAACAATTTATTGTCCATGGTGCCTTCTAACCACATGGGTGAAAAAGAATTAATGTGTTGCTTGCTAACTATAGCTTCAAAAACATATGGTAAATTTTTCCCAATTTGGGTAGTTCCAATTGATCCTGTTATCCAAAATATTCAGATGCTTTTAAAATGCCTTAGGGAGCTTCCAGACAGCACCGAATTGCCAGTTTTCCATGAGGGGTAAAAAACCCCAGGACATGAAAGCAGATATGTACACAGAGGAGGGATGGGAGAAGAGGAACATAATATTTGTATAAAACTATAGAAAACCAAATGGCTTTACAAAATAACATCTAATAATTATAATTATTATTTCTCACTTGTCTCTCCTTGTGGCCCAAAACACATAATCGTTGTAAGGATTCTATAAATACACATATTAAAATATATTTCTATAATATAGATATATATTGAAACATATTTCTATAAAATACATATTATAATACACAGAAGAAAGATTAAAACACAGGAGACAAGTTTAAAATTCATGATTAAAACTGCCTCTTAGCTTCTGTGTTCTGCCTCATTAATTACTTTTCCCATTTTGATAAAACTTGTTGCTTGACATATTTGTCCCAGTTAGTAGAAATGTGTAGGGTAGAATTTTCCCAAACTTGTAAGTTCTATCCCCTTATCATAATCATTCATTCATTCATTAATTCATTAATTCATTCATTCATTTCAGTTTGGATCTGGAGAGCTGGGGAAAGCTGCTGTAAGAGGATAATGTAAGACTATGAAAATGAGACTCTCTTACATTAGTGGAGGAGTTGCTGATCTCGGCTTTGGATACAGCTGCCTGGTACAAAGCCATTCTTTCCTTTAGAGATACAGCCTCCTGGAAGTCCAGGGGCAGTTTGTCACTCGGTTTTGTCCCTCCTGAAAGTCCACTTGCAGATTTTGGAGCAACGGTAGAATCTGAAAAGAAGAATAAGATAGAAACAAAATTATTTCACAGAAAGATAAGAGTTGGAAGAGACCACAAAGTCCATCTAGTCCAATCCTCTGTTTACCGCTGATAGACAAACATTATTTTCTTCTCCACAACATCACCAAAACATTGCAAAGTTGCCTAGGTAAAGGTTTCCCCTGACATTAAGTCTAGTTGTGTCTGACTCTGCGGGATGGTGCTCATCTCCATTTCTAAGCTGAAGAGCCGGCATTGTCTGTGGACACCTCCAAGGTCATGTGGCCAGCATGAATGCATGGAGCGATGTTACATTCTCACCTAAGCGGTACCTATTGATCTACTCACATTTGCATGTTTTCGAACTGCTAGGTTGGCAGGAACTGGGCATAACAGCTGGAGCTCATCTGCTCCCTGGATTCGAACCACTTATCTTTCGGTTAGCAAGTTCAGCAGCTCAGCGGTTTAACCCGTTGTGCCACCAAAGTTGCAAAGTTGCATACATACAGCATAATTATTAAGTACATAGCATTTCCTGAAGAAAGCGAATACTACCTTCCAGATTGTTTGAAAGTGGGGATGGGAATTGGGGTGCTCTACAGTTCTTGCTTCCATCAACTCCAACCAACCTAGCCCATGGTGAGGAATGCTGGGAATCATAGTCCAACCATATGATTCCCACTCCCGTTTTAGCTGCTCTAATTTGTCTCAACTTTTTGATATGTCTCTAACTTGGTTGATTTGCATAACTTTTTTGTGGGGGTAATTTAATGTGACATGAGCTCAGAATTTCATGGATCTTCATTACAAGAAAATTCAGTTTCAAAATTAGTAGCTGTTTTAAACAAAGAATTTGGGAAGCTGTCGTCCAAAAATAACTCTCCCAACGTGTGCTAACAGGAATTAAAGTCAATGTGAAACTATAGGCAAGAGGACAATTAATAGCTGGGCCCTTTTTATTTTGTGTGTGTGTGTCAGGAGCGACTAGAGAAACTGCAACTCGTTTCTGGTGTTAAAGAATTGGCCGTCTGCAAGGATGTTGCCCAGGGGACACCGGATATTTTGATGTTTTTTTTACCATCCCTGTGGGAGGCTTCTCTCATATTCCTGCATTGGGAGCTGGAGCTGACGGAGGGAGCTCATTCATGCTCTCTCCGGATTCGAACCTCTGACCTGTCGGTCTTCAGTCCTGCTGGCACAAAGGTTTAACTCACTGTGTCATCGGAGGCTCCTCCTTTTTTCTTTTTTTGTTTTTTAAAATGATTCTTTTCAATTCAGCATAGTATCTAGAATGACCACTCCAGGTTATGTTGTGCTTATACTGACCAGAAAATATCTGACAAATTGACAAGGCAAGTAATCGTAATCTTTTACATTCTAATAAATACACATTAAGAAACAGTGGGACAGATGTTTCCATATGACTTCCCACCCATTCATCCCAGGCTGATTTGAAATATGCAACAGGCTGCCCTCCATACCTCATAATTTAATGTTAATTATTTTGTCTGTGCTTCTGTGATAAAACCATCACAATAATTAATTATTTTGGCTTCAGTTAAAGTCTTTCAAAATGAAGTCACTGCACAAGAACAGAATGCTCCAGAGTCCACTAATTGTGACTTTAACTCCATCGAACTGTATGTGAAAATGCAAAACATACATCGTCTCTTCTATTAGCCCTGTAACCAGGTCAGCCATTTTCTTTGCAGACAGCAATTAATACAATTATTCCTGTCTAATATGTGCACTTTCTTGTCATAAAATGCTTTTTTATTTGCCCTTTAGTGAACCGTACACATTTTATTGAGCTCTTAGCTGGACTGCAATGTAACCTATTTAGCAGAGTAGAAACCTACCCATACAGGTATACTTAAAAATAGATTCTTCTAATATTCATATGGTCAGTAATGTGAGACATACACATGTTCCAACACTATATAATTGAAATCAGTGAAAGCAAGAAAAGCAAGTAGACTCAAACTCAGTTTTGAATTTACATATTCAATATGCTACATAGAATGATTCTGTTTTCACACAGCCCCTATTTATTCTTACAAGGTTTGCTGATGAAAATGACATTGTGATTTATTCCCAGTACTAATGTGTTTTACGTCCGTACATTTTGATTGTTTGTTCTTTCCACTTTGATCACAGTAGGGAGTGAGATCCTAGGAAATCGTGAGGTTTTCCCATGGCTGTTGACATTCATGAGTTTGCCAGAAGCCTCGTTGTAATTTTCAACCTCACTTAACCCTGAATGTTTTGGAGTTATGATGGAATAGATTTGTTTCTGAAAACACAATATTGTTATCCTCACACAGCTAGAGATTTCAGGCTGCCATTTCAAAGTACTCACCACTTTACATATTGTGTTTTTTGAGAGTATAGTTGTGACTGTGGCCATCTGGAGTGGCATGTCTCTACTGTGGCAGTAGAGCTTGAAATTCATGAGCAAAAAGATGGAGGATATGATGCTATCCAGAAATTTATATTCTGCTGGTCCTTCTCCACAGTCCACATTTTTTTCTTATTAGTGGCTATCACACAGATTGTCATCAAAACATTTGCTCAAAACAAGGACTAATATTCTATATCCTCTACTTCATCAAGCATTTCTAATAATAGTACACTTAAATAGGCAATCTCCCCTTGCCTTAAATGCCACCCCAAGATGCAAAACTGGTGACAGCTAATAGGAATATTAGGCTGTTTATGCAAACAACTAGGTGAAGTTTTTGCAGCTCATAGATTGCCCACATCTGATCCATCTCCTTACTCTAAGGAGACTCTTGATTCTCTTCCTTATTTGTCTACTTCTTCTCTGCCAATAAAGCACAATCCCACTCTTGTTTTCCAGGTTTTTCTGCATCTAATTTTCTTTTTTGAAGTTCCACCCACCCAATGTTTCTTTATATACCAGCTTTCAGTACACCACTGGCTTTGTCTCTGTTCAAGTGACATCTCTGATACTTCTATTTCTCCTTCCCAGGATCTCTTTGTCAGGCATCAGCCATCCTCTCTGTGGGGTTTTACTCCCAATTAAGTAGAACTCCCATTCAGCTTCATAGAAGCTCTGTTGGGTACTGCTTTGGTTCCCTAACTGCTGAACATCCCAACCAATCACTCTAGCTCAAGGCAGTCACTCCCAGAGGCTTTGCCACCACAAGCAAAAAACAGTATGGATGCTCTTTTTGGTACAGCTTTCTCCGCACATTATCTAATCCTATGTATTCATAATGGACCCAATAATTGACGGGTTAGTTCCTTTGAAAAAGGGTAGCTAGGTTGGATTCAACCTAAAGGCTGAATCCGACTGAGTCCTTCTTCTGCGTCCTGCTGTTTTTCCCCAAACGGTTAATCCTCTCCTTTCTGGAGTGCTGGGAAACCCTCCAGAACAGGTATTTATGGCGTCGCAGAAAACTGCAGTAGGCAGAATAAGGTAACAGATCTACAATTGTGCTGGCATTTGATATGAAAGTATGCAATTGGATGGCACAGTACATCATTGGATTTTTCTTCATTTGTTTTAGCAATTAATTCATAGATATCAGTCAATCAAATCCAAACATAGCTATTGCTACTACTGTTGTTGCTGCTGTTGTTGTTGTCATTCTTATTCTTACGTTTACTTGTTAATATTTAAATAGCATATGATTGGGGAAATTTCTTAAAGATACTATGTCTTTCTCAGTTGGTCTCCCTGGGCAACAAGTTCACGGGGCAGAAACCAGACCAAGCACAATCTGAAGTGTTCAAGGGCAGAGTAGGGGGAGGATAACATGGTACATGTTACAACTACTGTGAAGATGGAAGAAGGGTGCAACAGATGAGAAGTCACCGGTCGCCGGGTTAACCATTCCACTGGATGTGAACTTCATTCTGTGAAGACTATGTGCTGATCAAGTGTGTACTGATCTCTACACAAAAAACAAATTCTTGTACAGGCTTCTTCCAAAATAAATAAATAAAACAAAACCAACAAAAGTCCTGTGGTGATCAGCGAGTGATGATGGGGCAAGACTGTGAAATCTGTAAGCTCCTAGCCACAGACTGGCACATGGGCAGTGGATATGGATTCAGTCGTTCTGCCTCAAACTCTGAGGCTGTTGAGCAGTCCAGCAGCTGTATCCATGACTAAGAAGTCTTATTTAGGATCCACTCTGCTCACCACATATGGGGAGGGGGCTAGAAAACCATAGTCTGCCTCTCTTTTCCCTGACAGTCTAAGCCCTGCCACATGCACAATGAAGGACCTCCTTACAGCAACATCAAAGACACTTGAAGTCATCAGCTTCTGGTCAAAGGAAATTTAGTATAATGTCAAGTGTTTAACATTTAACATTGTTTCAGGTTTTTCTATACATTACAACTGTACTCTCAACTCACTTCTGACATGATACATAAAAAAATCCCTGACTGGACTGCCACACCCAGAAGGGTCACCACCTTGCAGTCAAAAAAGAAAGATGAACTTTGGAATGTGGAACATACGGACACTGTTGGACAACACAGACAATAAATGTTCTAACACAGGACTGCTATTTCTGCAAAGGAGCTGAGATGCTTTAACATCAATATAGCAGTACTTCAAGAGACTCAGAGAGCAGGAGATGGACAACTGAGTGAAAAAAAAGGAGACTACACCTTCTTCTGGAAGGGATTGCATGAACAAATATGAGGAATATACAAAGTTGGCTTTGCTATCAGAAATGACCTGGTGAAGCAGCTGTCTGAAGCACCCATTGGCATTAACCAATGACCCTCAACCCTCTGAATTAATCTTGCCAAAGACCAATAGGCATTGGCAACTATCATACGTGCCTATGGACTAACACTACATGGTGATGAAGATATCAATATTTTTTCCTGTCAGCTGAACACCATCCTCCTGGGGGATTTTAATGCAAGAGTTGGATGTGATTTTAAACTGTTACCAGGAACTATAAGAAAAGATAGGGTTGGAAACAGCAACTTGAATGGCATCCTACTTCACACCAAATGTGTGGAA